GGATGTTGTAGCGGAAGTCCCTCCATCTGTCTGGGTCGCTGGTATCAAAGACAGCGTCAGGGGCCAGGCCTGCGCGGTCGTCGGTGAGGATGCGGCTGGCCGAGTCCGCGTCCCCGGCCAGCACGGCTTGCCAGAAGGCCAGGGCAGGTCCCGAGGCCGTGCGGGTGACGATGGGGCCGGGGCCGCCGCCCTCCAGGCCCTCGGCCGCCCCTGCGCCGGCCTTCTCCACCAGCCTGGCACAGAGGGCACGCCCCGGGCCGGGGGTGCCCCCGGGGCCCCTACACTCCCGGGGGGATGAGCTCATGAAGGCCAAGAGGAAGGGGAGGAGGAGGAGGAGGGAAGGGGGCCTGTGCCCTGGGTGTTGGCGGGCCACTCCGTCAGCAGGAGCTATTCTGGGCGCCGCATGACTCCCCTCCTCCGGGGCCAAGGCCTGCTCCGGGGCTGCTGGGCCAGCCTCAGGGCGGGGAACCACCGCCCCCTCCTCCCCTCCAGCTTTTTAAAAGGTCCCCCTGCTCCAAGGCGTCCCCCAGCCCCGGGCTGCCCTCACCAGGCTGGCGGCTGCTCCAGCGCGGCTCGGCGGCCCGGCTCTCCAGCAGCAGGTGGGCAGTGCTGTGGGGCGGGAAGAGCTCGCGCAGCCGGGCCAGGTCCCCCGAGTAGAGCGCGTTCTGGAGCCCCAGGTCGCGGCACAGAAGTGGCAGCAGCCTAGGATGACCCCGGGCGAGGCCCGACTGCAGTCGAGGAACCGAGGGGGGGCTCACGGGACGGAGGCCCCTCTGAGGAGTGGCACCCTGCCCCCCAGGCATGGCCAGTTTGGGGTGGAGAGAAGGCCAAAGGAGAGGACTGGGGCGGCCGCTCGGGTGAGGGAGGGAAGGAGGGAGGGGCTAGGCCAGAAAGAGGCATGAGGTCACCACGCCAGAGCCAGGGAGTCAAGTGGGAAGCAGGGAGGGCGTGGAGACCAGCCAGGGTGGTAGCCAGAGTCCTCCCCTCTCCCCCAGAATCCTGCTACACCCTGTTGGGAAGGGACCGGGTCCCAGCTACCCAAACCCAAATCCCAGGTAAAAGAATGGAACTCC